TACAATGCCGATGTGCAACAACTCTTGAAAAAACACAACGTTAATCATTATTTTACGTATACGGTGTTGAAGGCATCGATCGTCGAGCGATTCAATCGTACGCTTAAGAACGACATGTAGAAGATGTGTACGCTCAACGGCACTTAAAAGTGGGTCGACGCGCTACCGCGTCTCGTGTCAGATTACAACGCGCGCAAGCATCGCATTATCGGCATGCGACCCGTTGACGTAACTCCCGCGATCGCCAAAAGACTCTTGGATACGGTATACAGCGCGATAAAGATCGCAGGTCCAGCAAAATTCAAAGTAGGCGAATCGATACGCGTGAGCAAGTACAAGACAATTTTCGAAAAAAGTTACACGCCAAATTGGACCACCGAGGTGTTTAAGATCGTTAAAGTGCAACGTACTAATCCCGTAACTTATCTGCTCGAGGATTATCGCGAAAAATCGGTCGCGGGCGCGTTCTACGAGCACGAATTGCATCGCGCGTGTATCTCGTGAAGAAAGTACTACGCAAGAATGGAGACAAGGTTTACGTCAAGTGGCTGGGATTCGACAGATCGCATAATTCATGAATAAACAAAAGCAGTGTGATTTAATTCATTTTTCTTCTTTTTATAATGTATTAAAAAAATAAATATACACTGTATACATGTATACAAAGAGTTTTTATTATTTTTTTCTCCCATTACATTTTTTAAACTATACATGTATGTAACTTACGAGAACACATGTAAAACTACATGTATTATAAACAATATATGTATTAAGTCGAGTATACATTAAATAAATCGAAGAGAGAATTAAAGCTAATTCCTCAGCAAGCAGGATCTTGGTCTATTATAAATTTTATATATAAAATAAATTTGAATAGCTAAATTTTATTGTAAAAACTACATATAAAAACTACAAAAAATACATACATCTATACTACATATATAACAATATCGTATAAAACTACAAGAATACATACGTTCATACATACATAGATATGATACATAGGTACGTACATACATACGTGCATATATGCATACATATAAACTATATAAAAAATATAAAAATATATGTACATTGTATAAACATGTATATATATTACAATGTATATATTACAATGGAATCCGCCAATGTCCCCACGGTAACGTCTCCGTCGAATCCGGTACGATGTATCGTTTGTCGTCGTACGGACTCAGAGCGATTTTCGACTCGGACACCGTGTATGTTGGTGTAGCTTGGATCTTACGATACACGACTGGCGACGAGTCATTTCGATCTCTTCGTTCAAGCACCGCGTATAATCGTCGAACGTTATTGTTCGACGTTATTCTTTACACCTTTCGCCTTTTTAATGTCTTTTCTGCCATCCACCCTCACCGCGTACATCTTCGCTCTGAGTCCGACGAATTCCATCATTATCGCACCGTTATTTTCATCCTTCATTAGACTGAGTACTTTTTTATTCGCGAGAGGCATCCCGTACGCGTTGTCCGTCGGATAATCGCTCGTATCGAATCTAGCGATATCGCGTTTCATCGCCTCGTACACATCATCGCACTCGATGTGACATACGAGACTGTCCGTGTCGGTGTACATGATCTTACATTTCTTGCGATACAGCGGTGACATGTATTCGTGGTGAAATTCGTACAAGCAGATTTTCGATATGTCGAGTATACACATACCCACGTAAATCGGCTTGTTGAATTTTACCTCGAATTTACGCATTTCGACGGCGATTATGTTTTCCACAAAGACGCTGCGGCTGTGGAAATTTGGTTTCGCGATCATTGCTTCCGCGCCATACTGTCTGTCCCATTTGGTCAAAAGTTTAACGTCGATGTGATTGCGCACATTTTCCATTGTTTTACCGAATACCGCGTTGTTCATTAATTTGTACAAATTTTTTTCGAAATCGTTTTTCGCGTACGTTCTAAAGTGTGTATTGAGTTCGATGTAATCGCGGAGCCAGGCGGATTGAGCAAATTGTAGTACGCGATATATCTTTGCGATACGAAGACCATGGCGCGTACATTGCTGCAGGTTGCGATAATGGATGACGTACCGCTTCTTATCGTATAACGTCGCGAGAAGTTTATCCTGCCGCGTGCCGGGTGGTTTATCGCGCATCGGACAGAAAGGTAGGTCAGTGTGTCGATCGTGTAAATAATGCGGACTCGAGATCGACCTCGAGAATATAATCCGTAGACGAATCCGGAGCGATCGCGCTCGCGTCAAAGTTCTCAATGTCTTCCATCCATCGAAATTCGGCATAGGGCAGCGGTTGACACATCGCCCATCCGTACAGATTATTTACGTCAAAGTACATAAGGTATGATGACGGTTTCGACGGATCGTACGAACGCATGTACTTGTTATTGGCCTGTGCGTATCTGCCGGAACATTGACTGAGACCGCCGCGTATACCGCGTTCGCTAAACATAACCATATCGATGTCGGTGAGCAACTCAAATTTTACGCGCGTATGTTTCAACATGGCGTCCCACGTGAAACTGGCAATGTGTAGTAATGCGCGGGATCGAGT